CGCCGGATTGAACTCTCCACAGTCACCTTGCGTGTTGATAGTGTTGAACTCGTACTCTCGAAAATCTCCACGAGTGGAAAGGTGAAGGTGTAAGTAACCAAATTAAGGGCAATTATCGCCTTATATAGACAAAGTGTTCAAGGTCACCTTTTGCGCAAGACTGTAAGCAACTAGTAGGTGTTCAAAAGCTGACAATGCAGTTATTTGATTCCGGAAATCATACGATGTGTTGTTCTCACTTATTAAATATATCCCTCTTTAGTATTTTGCAAACGATAACAGAGAGTTTGTAATAGTAGAAATTTCCTTCCGTTTGTCAGTTCTATCGTCGTCGCGCAACAGAATTAACACAATTACAATGTCGTCACGTAAATCCAAACTATCATTGAAAAAACCGGCACCAACTAACATTCTACAGAACATGTTAGAAAGCAACAAAGTGGGGAACAGTAGTACTTGCACCGATAATAATCTGTTCCCCCACTCGCCGAAAAAAGTGGTACCCGGTAACAATAAACCGTTCCCGGCGGCGCCGTTTATGGATGGTGACCAATGTAGTGTCATCACCATCCATTCGGATAATTCAACAGTCCAGTAAGTATCATTAATTGTGCCCTTGATTTTATGTAGCAATGATAATTTGTTATAGAACTCCTGCCAACCTGTGGGAGAATTTTGATGTGGAATTAGTGATGGCCCAATTAGACGGAGGTGACGCTGCGGACCATTTATACTCCAGCGAACGGTTAGTATAAATGTTTATGTTTAATGGGATATAATAATAATAATAATAATTAATGTTGGAAAGTACATGTTTCAAGAACACACCTATTTCTTTGTAGAGTTGTCCCAACGCCACATTTGTCAGAGCAGCAGAAGTCGCCCACTCCACCACCAGAATTTCGAGCTCCTCTTCCACCTCTAGAGCAGGCCGGAAAGTCCGAAGACGAACCGGTCGATCCCAGGGTGTGTGCGAAGAGACGGTAAGTTGTTAAAAAAAAATGAAATCGAATATAACTAAAAATTTGTTTCATCGTTACAGGCGCAAATGTGGCGAGAAAAATTTAGAAGCCCTGTTGAAAATTCAAGGGCAGGAGGCGGGGTACACACCTGAGATGCCGTCCACTTCGGCGGTTCCAATTCCTGCAGCGCGGGAGATTGCTTCCCAGGCGCACCAACTTCTGCAGAAAATGCTGCAGAAGTATGCCATCCAACTGCAAGAAACGCAGGACAAAACCTCTCAATTGGAACGTCAAGTGGAGGCGTCCCGGATGGAGGAAAGAAAAATTGAAGGGGACATGCGGTACATTTTAAGCTTTGTTAATTTTTGTGGTAGGAAATAGTCTATATATAGTTGTAATAAATTAAATTGTTGTAAGATAGTTTTAATAAATAAAAGGTTGTAAGATAATTGTCGTTTACATTGAACAAAAAAAAATTGTTCACATCACCTGCTAATAAAGAAATGTGACATTGGAAAAAGTATGCAACCAAAAGTGCATAACGTAGTGTGATTAGTTGCATAAGTGTAACTTTGCACAATGCAATGGGTTAAGTAGATATGTTCAAAAATTTTGCGCTCCTGGAATTTTTAAATTTGTCGTGGGTTCTATGCAGTTTAAAAATTTTTCTCAAAGGCAAATGCATTTTATAAGAAGTGTTTTATCTATTGGAAGTATAATTTTCCAAAAATTTCAATGCATTAACCGCAAAATGAGGTCCTCTACATATTACCGAAAAGTGCCGTGAAAATTTAATTTGTACTTACACATTTGCACTTAAGAAAAGCTACATTTACGTATTTTGGAATTTTTAAACTGATAAATACAGCCAAAACAATTTTTTCACGAATAACGGTAGTAAAATTCAAAGCGCGTTTCCGCAGCTGACCAAAGAATGAACTTCGTTCCCGCGCGCCGGATATGCAGTTGCGGGTTGAATATCTTTTTATCGCGCGTTTAAATTCTGTGCGATGCACTTTTTCTATGCATAATCTTTTCTAGGTACGATGTTATAGAAATTAGGTCAAACAAATACGTGTGCATGAGACAATTTCACGCTTAATATTTTTTTAGGGAAAACGCAACATGAAAAATTGCACATATTTGACTCGGGTGCATTTACAATAACGTCGCCGCATTTTTTCGTTATGTATATATTTAATAATAACGATTATCATAGATGTGTTAATGCCAAAAACATTGCATTCGTAGGTAATTCGACGTTTTAAGAATAGCTAATTAGTTGTAGGTGCAAATTAATGCGCACCATTGGAAGTGCAGTAGATACGCGTTTTATTCATTTTGCTTTACGAGAAGTTCCTAGAGCTAAAATTAATAATTCCCATTGAGCGTAAAATGCCTATTATTTGCGTTTTATGTCTATTTAAATGTACGCCTCACCTACATGATTAATTAGGATGTCATTTATATTATAAAGGTTTTTGGTATAAAATTTTATAATCGATCAATCGAACACATAATCAATTAGAAATTATGATTTGCATTCGAATGCATAAGAAACTGGCCTTTGTATTTAATATTTTTATTATTTGCTAGGGTAAATGGACCAGTCAGTCACTTGTCAAGTAAAATAAGAAATACAATGTATACAAATCTTTATTTGCCTCTATCAATAAGTACGTCAAGTAGGTACATTTAGGTTCATTTAAGCGACGCGTCGTAATTCATAATTCTTGCTTATTAGCTTGAACACACTTAATTTTTTCGGCATTCTCCTGTATTGCGCGTTGGACTTCTTGGCTTTAGTTGTATTTTATTCAATTTTCGCTGTACATCTAGCACTTCTAAATCCCACTTCAACTTTTTAATTTTTCTTAGTAAATCGTCTATTCCTTGTCTCTGTCTGCTCACTTTCGCAGTTATCCTATTTACTTTTGACATCCTTACTGGTACCTATTCTTTATGAATATGACTTCTACGGTGCTCTGCTAAACCCTTTATACGCACCATTACCCAAGAAATAAACCACGATCGAGTTACAACCTTCAATGAGCATAGTTCAGAACCACTTTAGTTTTCACAATCGACCTGTTACCTACGAGGCAACGACTCAAGGTCCTGCTTGACCCAAGTTCAGAACCATTTGACCTTGACGTTAGCTCATAACCACTTTAGTTCAGGCAAGAACCGCCGTCTACGTTTGACCTTTCAGTGACATTGATTTTAGCAGTTTCAAACCCACGTTCACGTTTCACCTTCAGTGACATTGATTTTAGCAGAGTTTCAAACCCACGTCCACGTTTCACCTTCAGTGACATTGATTTAGCAGAGTTTCAAACCCACGTCTACGTTTGACTTGCCAGTGACATTGATTTAGCAGAGTTTCAAACCCACGTCTACGTTTGACCTTCCAGTGACATTGATTCTGAACCGGCTATACTATACTACTACTCAATTGTAACTACAATGTTCTTGAGAGCAGAGGGAAATAACCCAGCTAACCAAGGAAGGTCTGAGAACCGTCGGCCGAATGTATGCATTGAATGTGCATAATGCAGGTGCTTAAACAGCATAAATACTGCAGTAACATTCAACTACGCCAATGTAATTTATTACTGCAGCACCGCGTGAGCATCTTTTGGGTTTTATTTTATTAACGCATATTTATTGTGCATATTCAACAACAATGAAACGAAAATTATCGGCTAGGAGATGACCGCTATTATTAAGTGCAGTTCAAGCGTTGGTTCTGTGCATGCTATCTAGGAACTTCTCATGTCAAGGTTGGTATTAAGGTAAGTAAGTATATGGTTGGTACTACTAATTTTTATTTTTAGTGTCGCTGCAAATGGCGGATATTGTTTCTTTTGCTTTTTTTTAAGAAATTGTTCAGTGTTTGCGAATGTCTCAAAAGCACAAGTGAGTTTTTATACCGATTACTTTATACCCGTATATACAGTCAGGTTTCAATTTGCGTACCGTTTGTTTGACTAAAAAGATAGGTGCATGTTTACTTCAATGCTATTTTATCATGTCCTTTGCTTATAAACGACAAAGCCTTCGTCAAAGGCAACGAAATATAAAAAACCAAGTACAACAAGTCATCAATTTAATTGAACTTGAAAATAAGTACAATGAAGAAAGTACTCCAATAGGCACTAACAAGATAATGAAGTAATAATGAAGCTGCTGCCTCATCTTCTAGAAAGATTTTGTATACTCAATCTTTCGATGCATCTTTTGATGAGGACGGTGAAGTACACGAGGCCTCGCAGCAGACAATTGCAACACCTTTTCTAAATCGGAACTTCTTTAACGTAGAAGTAACTGCTACAGAAGAAACCAACATCAACGATAACTTTAGTGATGAAATTTGTTTGTAAAATCGTATGTCGAGTGATTCATCTAAAGAGTTTCTTCAGAATTGGAGCAAACGCAATAAAATTTCTCATGTTGCACTTACTGAACTATTAAAATGGTTTAAATTAAAGCCCAATATTGGTGATTTGCCACAGGACTCGCGTACTTTACTTAAAACTCCCAGAAAAATGTTCGGCATTAGAAAATTTTCAGATGGTTGCAAATTTTATTACTTTGGATTAAAAAAAAACATTCTCTAAACTTTATTTAAGATTTCTTTGTGACGAGATGGAATTAAATTTTAATATTGATGGCCTTCCTCTGCATAAAATCACCAAGCCAATTTTATGTGTTGTAAGTAACCTAGCCGATCAATCTCCATTTATTGTAGCACTGTATTTCGGTCACAAAAAACCTCCACTTGAAGAATACTTATGTGATTTTATAAATGAACTAAAAATCTATTTAAAAAATGGTTTAGTTCTTAATAATACCATTATAAAAATTACTGTGCGGTCATTCTGTTGTGACATGCCTGCCAGATGTTTTGTAAAGAATGTCATGAATCATAACAGTTATAGTGGTTGTGATAAATGTAGTGTAAAGCTGCATTTATAATCACTTTGTAGGCGAAGTGCAACTTTGGCACGCGTGTTAGACATATGGAGTGTAGGTATACCATTCACAACATCATCGCGACTCAGCACGGCGTGCTGCTTGTTTATGGACGCTTGCAAGCTGCAAGGTTGTTTGTCTCGTGCTGGCACACGATCATGCGCAATAGTAAACATTTTAAATTTCTAACCTCAGAGCAATTTTTTTTTATTGATAAAGCATAAATTTTATCTATAATGTCTGATGTAGAAGTAAAAGCCCTTTTGTTGGGAAGTATTGCTACCTTATTATCTATTAAATTAAAACTAAAAAGCACGAAGAAAACGCGAAAGCGAAAAAGGTTTGGAATTCATCCAATGCTACTGCAAAGAAAAAGTCAGGGGTTTTATGACAATTTAATAAATGAAATTCGAATCCATGATCCGTATATGTTTTTTAATTTCACTAGGATGTCTTCAAGCTCTTTTGATAAATTATTGTCACTTGTGGGCCCAGATATTGCAAAAAAATCTCTAAGAGAATCGATATCTCCAGGGTGCAGGTAATTATATATCTATGTGTTTTAATTAAAAATATTAATGAATCGTTTTTATTAATAGGCTTGCAATTACATTACGATTTTTGGCAACTGGAGATTCTTATCCAAGCTTGTCATATTCCTTTCGGGTTGCTGTACCAACAATTTGTAATATTATTAGAGAAACGTGCTTGGTGTTGTGGAATGTTTTGTTTCCAATAGTGTTAAAAACCCCAAATGAAGAGATGTTAAAAAAATTTGAAAAAGAATTTTGTACTAAGTGGTCATTACCAAACTGCGTAGGGGCTATAGATGGCAAACATGTGACAATTCAAGCACCTTATAAGTCAGGCTCTACATTTTTTAATTATAAAAAAAATTTTAGCATTGTTTTATTGGGCGTGTGCAATGCAGACTACATGTTTACTTATGTGGACATAGGAGCATACGGTTCACAAAGTGATGGAGGTGTTTTAAATCAATCACAATTTGGACAAAAACTTTCTACAAATAGTCTTAATTTACCATCTCCAAAGTTGTTACCCGTTTCAAGCAATGGTCTACAAATTCCACACTTCTTTGTTGGAGATGAAGCGTTCCCACTTAGAAGCAATTTGATGCGTCCATACAGCAAAGGCCGAAATGGTACAATGCCTGAAGACGAAAAAATATTCAATTATCGTCTCTCTAGAGCCAGAAGAATAATTGAAAATGTTTTCGGAATTTTAGTGGCAAGGTTCAGAATATTCCACCGTACCATAAATGCTTTTCCTGAAACAGTTGATAATATTGTGAAAGCCTGTGTATGTTTACACAATTATATAAGAATGGAAAATAATGAATGTTATTTTCAAAATGAAGACATCGATAGAGAAGTAGATGGAAAGTTAATTTCTGGGAGATGGAGGACTGAGGCTCCAGTTGATGGGGCTCTGACAAACCTTCGACTGCGGTTAGGTGCTAGAAATTCTGGTGAAACTGCCTTAGCTATGAGAACATATTTAAAAGAATACTTCAATGGTTCAGGAGCATCTTTAGCACCATGGCAGTGGAATGTAATAAATAAAACTAATTGAAACGTTTAATACTGTAATGTTCTAATATCATTTTGAAGATTGTATTGCTTAATGAAATAAAATAATGAAAATCTTGAACCATACAATGTAATAGTATCGTCGAAAACCTTGAATTAGTAAATTCGCTAACAAATCATTTCCAATATTAAAACTAAACATCCACCCTGTATGCATAATAAACTTGAACTAAATCGTTAATGACATTGTTATAAATACATCGCAAACTACTTAACTAACTGAAGGATTGATCTCTAATGCGTTTTTTGAATGAAACTAATTGAAGTGTTAATGCATCCATTACTTCATCTGCGTGACTTGTAGTCATGTCTTTTAGCTCGGCAGCTACATATTGGCCAAATTTCTCATATTTTGTACCATTGTTGTCTGTATTATTTAACGAAAGTAATGAACTGGACACATCCTTAAGCACAGAATCAATTTCAACGACATCAGACCGGTCACACTTTCTTTTTGTACTTTGCTTCCCTTTTCGTTGTGGAGTATTCTCCATTTCGCTTTGCCATGTGTTGTTACTGACAGGTGAAAAACAACCTTCGTAGTCATGGTCAATGAATGTAATTATTTCAGTTTCCACTTCAGAGTTGATACTACTACTTTCACCTGAACTTGAGGGCAGATTTGTAGTTGTTTGCCTACTTTGTCCATCACTTTTATATAAAAACTTAAAAAAGCTCATAAGTGGCCAAGTAGGTCTTGTATTGGCAGGGGCGCCGCTACGGTTCAACTTTTCTTCTGTACTTATTTCCCTACGGTATTTTTCTCGAAGGGCTTTAAAGCGAGCTTTAACTGTTGCAACTAAAATAATTTTGTTAATTAGTGAAAAAACCTCAATACCTAATTCTGCAATTTACCATCTCTGTTCAGTGAATCGGCCACTGATCTCCAACAGTTCTCTTTTTGAAGAACTGATTTGTACCCTTCGTAGCTCTTGTCATATAACGGCCGATAGTTCGCCACACACTGTAGTAATAATTCATCGTTTATTTCTCCTGCCATTCTTCAATTAAATTATGAAACAATTAAAAACTTAAAAATAAATAAAGATAAACCACTTACTTGTAGGTTAGATGATTAACCGGTAACGGTAACACGCATGCGTAAATTCGTGCCAACTTTAGTAATTGTAAATGCTCGTCACATGTACAGCACGCGTGCCAAAGTTGCACTTCGCCTACAAAGTGATTATAAATGCAGCTTAAGAGGTGACATTAAGAATAAACGCATGACATTTTGTAATTTAACAGCATCTTCGAACAACAGAATCTTTTGAAATACTTACCGATAGTTATCATAGGGCAGCAGTCCTCTTTCTAAATTGCCTGTAGATATGATTACTGCTTTCCCAATTGATTATATGCACTCTGTTTGCCTTGGAGTGATGAGAAAGCTGTTATTTCTATGGAGGGATAAAGGCAAACCTTACGGCATTAAAAATATCATTGATGTAAATACACTCATATTAGAATTGAGACCATACTGGCCTGCCGAATTTAACAGAAAACCTAGATCATTATCAGAGTTAGAGCATTGGAAGGCGACAGAATATAGACAGTTTTTACTTTATGTAGGACCCATTGTGTTGAAAAAGAAGCTACCTCATACCATTTTGTGTAACTTTTTATTGTTAAAGTTTGGCATATCAATACTGTTGAATGAAAACCTGAATAAGTCATATAATCAATATGCAGACAAGTTATTGCGCTTATTTGTAAAACACGCAATCGCTATATATAGCAAAGAGTTTTGTGTCTATAACGTTCATTCGTTAATCCACCTTTCGAAAGATGCCAAAATATTTAACACGCTAAATACAATCAACTGTTTTGCATTTGAAACTTTCTTAGGCAGCTTAAAAAATCTACTTAGAAAGCCCAATTTACCTCTAGAACAAATTGTAAGGCCTTACGAAGAATTAGGTACTGTGGGTCCAAATAGAAATCCACAGAATTTTGAAATGTGACGTTTTTGCACATAAATAATAGCTGATTAACTAGTATCAAGTCAAACAGTGTCCATATTTCTGATAATTTATTACTAATTTAATGGGATGTTATTATCACTATCTGAGATAAGCTTTTTCGTCAGGTGAATAATAAACATTCAATTTTAGAAAATGGAAGGTAGTAAAGGGACTCCAATAAGTCAACGTACCGCGCTATTATTAAAATTGTCTAAACAGGAACAAACCAACTTCGGAAGTGTCCAAAGTGAACCGTACTCAAAAAAAGTATCAAGATGGGTGGCATCTTTACCTTACAATCTAAATGAAACTGCAGCATACGGAGCTGATGATAACCAGTCATCGCAAATTTGTTCTCTAGATAGTTCTGCAGGTAAAATGCAGTTTAAAAGAAAAATGTAGCAGTCTTGGAAAGCGTTTTTTTTTCAGGATGTGTTGCAAACATCCATGAAACCGAAAATTGTTCGCCAGTATTGAACTACTTGCTGACTGAGGCTGAAGAGAGTAGGCAAACCGTGGGTGCAAATACTGATAATAATGAAAATATGAATAGTGGTAGTGATGACATAATTGATAATGATCAAACATCGCAAAGGTGCGCTGTAAATAGCTCTTCAGGTAAAACCCAGTTTTAAAAGGAGACGCTGTTATTTTAGAATAATATATTTTTTCACCCCGCTGGACCTAGCCCCCCCACCATTGTGAATTAATTTAAGAATGGTATCCAATTTATGAGCTATTTAGGAGCTTTTCATATCGCAAGCTTAAAATTTTAGAGCTCGCTTTAATCACTAGGAATCGATCATTTCTTATGGGGTGGCCGAGTCTACTTGGACTCAGCCCCCCCACTGATCAGAATTACTTTTTTCAAATTAAATTTTGTACTGGAATTACGAGCTATTTAAGAGCTTTCATATACAAGTAATTTCGATTTTTGAGCGCCACTCCTAAAAGAGCAAATAGATATAATCGATGGGGCGGCCAGCTCCACTTGGACGTAGCCCCTCCTGTGTTATGGTTTACTTCAAATTAATTTTTATGCATGAATTACGAGTTATTTAAGAGCTTTCATTTACAAGTAATTGCAATTTTTGAGCGTCACTCTTAAAAAGAGGAAATAGATGTCATCCTGGGAGCGGCCAGGTCTATTCTGGCGTAGCCCCTAATCTGTTTTTCTTTATTTATTACAAATTAATCTTTGTCCATGAATGACGAGTATAATTATATAAGTAAGTTTAATTTTGGAGCTCCACCCTCAATAGGTCAAATAGTCAATCTTTGAGGGCGGCCAGGTCCATTTCACAGTAGCCTTACCTCTGAGCTACCGGTTAGTTGCATCAGCACGTACTCTCTGTGAGTTTTGAGTGAATTTGTTTGTGTTAAAAGTGAAAACTTGGGGTGGTTTTGAATGTTTTCTCATCAGTGTTAGCAGCTAATCGGACCGATCTATGTCTTCTTTTGAACTATTGCGGAATCCAGAAGCGTTTCTTTTGGATCGCAAAAACCTAAATTCCAAGAGTCAGAGGGCCGAAGTAGATGCGTCGCTGAATAGATGATCACCAACTACTGGCTCCAACTTCGGAGCACCGGGCGCCACACCGTTGTATTAAGTCGCCTTAGACGTGTGCAGGGGGCTCGACGCTTGTGGACATTTCTTTCCCCCATACTCGTGGCACTCTTATGGCCCAAGAAAAAACAGAAAACACAACAAACTACTCCGAGAGCACCGGCATTAAAGAGCCTAAAAAACTCTCCGGGGCGGCGCACCGAAAGCTAATAGGAGGAGGCTCTCGGTAAGATCAAAGCCTGGATCCTTGACAGAGTCGACGCTTTTCCCCACTTTACGGAATGTCGGCACGAGGGAGAGCGCTGTTGATCACATGCGCAAACCAGGTTTCGGTGGACAGCTTGAGGTCAGAGCTAGCGAGCTCCAGGGGGGGGGGGCGAGATTTGTGATTCTTCGAAACGAAGACCGTAAGGACACACGCCTGGATCCTCAAGTGGAACCTGAGAAGATCCCGAAAAGGATCGAAAGCCAAAATGCTGGAGATTAAATGATGCGGGCTACACCACAGTGCTTGCCTTTAGCGATGACATAGTGATTGTAGTACGTAGGGGATTTGAGGAGACCGTATCAGTTAAGAGGCAAGGAGCTTTAAATCTAGTGGGAACATAGTGCGAAGAAGAGGGCTTATCTGTTAATTCAACAGAAAAAAAACTTCGTTAGCTTTTCTCACGTGCATAAGGGCCGACAAAGCTAAAGGACGTTGCAATGTAGGGCACCAAGCTACAGGTAGTGAGAGAAGGTAAATACTTGGGCATTGCGTTTGGCCAAGCGCCTAACTAATCACAAATGGAAAAAATAGCGAACAACGTCACAAGGTCCCTGGATATACACTAATATAATACCAGTTATTACGTATGTGTGTGGTAGGATCAGACCTTCGCCTAGAAGAACATACAGATACTGATCAAGCTGCAGCGCAAAGCTTGCCTTAGAATTACGAGGACAATGATAACGTCCCTGACAGTAGCTATAGAGACTATATGAACTGACCGTCACTACACCTGGTAATTATAGCAGAGGCATTCAGACAGGCATACTGGTTGAGAGTCAATGGAGAGGAGGAATCGTCAAGGGTAGGATAACTGAGAGGATAACCAAAACAGTTTGTGATAAAAAAAACCTGTTTAAGATGATAATCCCCGCTCGATACGAATGGGAGGGTTATACCAGTATGGTATAGCTGAATGGAATCGTGCATTACACAAATGGCTCAAAAACTACGGAGGGCACCGGCTGTGGAGTGTACGGAAGCAATTGACAGGGCTTCAGAATCTAGGACAAAAAGCAACCGTGCTCCAAGCCGAGGTATACGCAATCCTGACTGCACTTGCTCAATTATATTAACAGAAAACCTTACTAAAAGGAAAATCTTTAGAGTAACAGACAACAAAGCACCGAGTGCAGAATTAGACTCATATGTAGTCGATTCAGGATGCACACAGAGGTACTAAACGCACTAGGAAGCTCTAACACAGTCACAAGTGGAACTGGCCGCCCCATCGATTATATCTATTTGCTCTTTTAGGAGTG